ATATATATATATATATATATAATATATATACATATATATTAATATATATATATACATATATATTAATTAATATATACAAATATATATTTATATATATATATTTATATATAGGGCTGTCATATATAAGGAATATATATATATCACTCACAAACAAAGGTGGGCTTCTTTGTACATGATCCCAAAAATTTATAAAAATAATTAAGTTATATATAAAATCATATTTTAACTGTAAACTACTATATTAAATATTTTAAAACCATATTTTTGTATTTTTCTTAATGCCATTCAACTGCAACATGTGAAGTGATATTACGTGATATGTCAAATATCTCTGGAGCGGCTGTGAGTCGTGGTCGAGGCAACCTGCCCGTGTTCAAACTGAGCACTTTGAGGAGGAAAGGTAATTTAGGTGATCGAACACGGCACGGTCGTTGGTGCGTGACAGGCTGATGTGAGAATATTTTCAAAAAAATACTGAGTAGTTTTTTATTATTGCATTTTTATATTCCTGTACAACCCTGTTTAGGTGGTTTACTGATGGTGGACCAACACAGAGAAACTGTTCCTGGGCTAAAGGGCTGTTTCAGGCTGATAGGAAGACAAAACAAACAGAACAGAAACAACTTCCAACACAGAAGGTTCAGTCAAAATAAGATATTCTACAGCAGCGACTCCTGAACCAAGCACCGGTCCTGTCAGCTCAGAGAAGGAAACTCTGGCCGTGCAGGATTACCAGATCAGGACAGCAGCATCTCGGAAAGCTCCAGCGCCCCCATGAGTCCACGTATCTGTTCCAACGTTCACACAGCAGAAACATCAAAGCTCGGTTCTGTTCCCTGTTCAGCCTGTTGGTGGGGTGTACGGGTGCGGGGGTATTTTCTTGGCACAGGTTTGTCAACTCAGCAGAGCTAAACTGGCAGCAGTTAAAGTTCCCAGTAAAACCATAGACTATAAACAATAAGTGGACGCAACCATGTCATGCTGCAAACCTTTGTCTTCTTATCTCCTTCCTGTCCTATTGTAATTACCTTGAGCTTCATATTTGTCACTGTATCAGATCATTATCAATTATCACAGGATATTTAATCGTGATCCCATTTAGCGAAAAACAGAGGGGATAAAACAGTAATCAAAGTTACTGGTTGCAGGTGACTATGATGGTAACATTTACCTGTTACAAACTGAACTGTGCAGATGTTTACCCACTGTGTAGCTACTTTATGTGTTGCATTCAGGGATGTAACGATACACTCAACTCACGATACGATTAGCGATTTTTTTTTTATGTTCACCGTCATTAAACAACATGAGCACCAGACCAATCACATCGATCCGTTATTTGTCAATAACTGTACAAAATACCAAAACTACCGACTGAGACGGTCTGGTGCAGCACATACACTGAAATAAAACATCGATGTCGGTGTTTTATTAGAACAACACCAACTTCAGGATGTCGCGGTGTGTGCGGAGCCCAGATGAAGAAGTGCGTCAGCAGCTGGACCGGCTGTGTTCATTCATTACCGCAGTTGTGTGTTTCCACTGATTAGACTGATGAATCAATAGACCCGCTTCAATCAGAGCCGTAACGATAAACAAATAAAAGCAAGCGACTCCGACGAACGGCTCCAAATCACTGCAGGCACGGAGGAGGAGGAGGAGGAGGAGGAAGGAGAGGAGTGTGTGTATGTGTGTGTGTGCGCGCGCGTAAAAGCGCGTCCTGGTAGCAGCCAGGCTGCAGGTGTGGTTCACATGTGCAGAGAGAGCAGACAGGGAGGCAGTGGAGCCGAGGAGGCGCTAGTCGGCGCCTTAAGAATAAAATTCAATTCGAGTGTGTATCGTGTTCAAGGGGGATCGGGTCCACACACACACCCACCCACACACACACACACACACACACCGTGGTTCACTCAGAGCTGCACACACGCACATGATTTTGCGGTGTTTTTTCTGACGGTTCACACAGACGTAATGCATTGACAGGACTCTAACATTAAACACTACATATACATATATATATATATATATAGGATTAAGATTAGACATATATATATATGTCTAATGTAATTAAACGATTAAGATTAGACATATATATATATATATATATGTCTAATCTTAATCGTTTAATTAGATTAGACATATATACATATATGTCTAATCTTAATCCTATATATATTTATATATATATATAGTGTTTAATGTTAGAGTCCTGTCAATACATTACGTCTGTGTGAACCGTCAGAAAAAACACCGCAAAATCATGTGCGTGTGTGCAGCTCTGAGTGAACCACGGTGTGTGTGTGTGTGTGTGTGTG